TTAATTTATATTGTAATAGCTCTTACATTTCTCGTGACTGTTATTGTATTTAATTTATATTGTTATAGCTCTTATATCTCTTGGGACTGTTCTTGTATTTAATTTATATTGTTTTAATGGCTGGAGACATTTGCTGTCATGTTAAACTTATATTAAAGTTTTTCTTCATTACCCATTTAAGCCGTCTCCAGCCACAATGTTACCAAAGTTATACAAACAAAGATAGGGAGAAATGAAAGCACTTGCACATCAAGGGACTGGAGTGAAGATTGAAATTTTTCCTAAATATTAACTTTTGAAATCAAGAAGTTAAAATTTAGGTAACACAAAAATTTGAATTACAGACTATGATCTGATGCTATATATTGATAATAAAGTTGTTTAATTAAATTTTTAACATACCTCTGTACAATGTTGTGAAATGTTGGACAGACCTATACATAAGAGGGTTAATTTACCACCACCCTCATAATGATAATGTTGAACAATTTACTCTGAAATAGCAGCTAACCATATTTAGCATGTTTTTTGGGACAACTGTAACTCTTGAGCCACAGAAAATCAAATCATTAATAATAGTATGTAACACTCCTGGTCTTCCTACCACTGCAGGGTAAAGCATACCATGACATCCTAATTCAAATGATCCCTAACTTGATGCTAGAATTTGCAGAAGTTACATATCAATATATCTTGTTTTTATACAAATTTAGCAGAAAGTAAGTTATATATCCTTTTTTAGAATAAGCAAACTAACAAACCCATAATCATCATATGGTCTTCTGTAGTAGAGATCATCAGCTCGTGAAGTAGTAGCTGATGGAGGTGGTGGTGGAAGCCTACGTTCATAAGGGTCTGGGTAAGGTCTCATCCGTTCAGCTGCAAAACTCCTTTCACTGAATCTGTCAAATCCATAACCATCTGAAAATCTGTCGTAACGACTCTCGGGACCATATCGTCCAAAGGTTCTTTCTGGATAAGTTCCATAAGTACTCATAGGTGGTGGCAACCTACCATAACGTGCATTTCTGAAAAGTTAAAAAATATAAATTGTATTAATATACACAAAAGAAGACAGAAAGACAAGGTTCAACATATATTACTTGCTAAAGGAACTTTAAATAATAGTAGAGTAAAACTCAATAAAATTATTTTATATTGCTATTGGCATATATTATCATGATTGAATAAACTCAATCCACGAAGTTCACATAACTTCCACACAAACCACTAATCAATACATACCCATAATACCTAAATAAAAAAATAGAATTTCAGGTGAGATAATCATACATTTAGGAATATACTTTTTTGATATTGCATAGTTGTTTTAAGGAGTTTGAGGAAAAACTATTTGATTGTTGGAATATCTAAGTATCATAGGACAATTTTCACAGAATTTTGATCCTGATTAAATTAGCATACAGCAATTTTGCAGTTCCTAATATACTGAAAAAACTATAATTTTACTTCTGTGATCCTCTACTACTGTTTAAATACAGAAGATGTATAAGAACATTCAGTTAAACTTTATTTTATATGTTACATAACATTATATACGTTTTATGTATCTTACTTTGTCAAAAATATTACTATTATTCTTTGATGCTTCCAGTTCAGTCACTAAACTAAATGCCTTAGCTATAAGTTTACTGATGCTAGTAGTTCTAATTATTCAGCAAACAGATAAAAATACAATTAACCCTCTTGTCAACATTTGTGATCCCTACATTTGTTTTGTTTTTCTTATGTAGTGCACAGTTATGGAATTTTATAGTAACAATTCACATAATAAAACACTGATATAAATATACTACACAATATCAACCTATCCCAAACAGCAGTTTATATTTTGATACAAAGTTTAAGGAAATAAAAATACAATGAAACACCATTACAGGTATAAATGTTGAATATAATAAACAAAAAAAAACAACTCAGTAATGGTATGATTACTTTGACAACAGAAAAATTGTTAGGCAATGTATGATACAAGTTATATACCAACTCTTAATTTAAAACCAGTGAACCATGGTGTGAATTAACTTTTCTCAAAGTTTATTATTACAATCAAATACTTTAACTAGTATCTCATCTTTACTTCTCATTAGTTTGTAACTCTACAAGTTATAGTTTTAAAAAGATGCAATAATGTAATCTTTAATAAAACAAAAAGGTTAAAGCTAAAAAATACACCTACTGACCATACATTTTTAGTACCATTGCATTGGAATCACAAATTATTTTCTAATGCCTATTTCTTAAACTATTGGTATGAAGTTTGAAAAATAACCACTTCACAGTAATACTTCTGACATAATCAACACAAATACAATGTTAAAATGAAAATAACCCACAAGATCAAAATTTTGTTGATTTCTCTCCAAAGATAAAAATAAAATAAGTACCTTTACTACAAAGTGATAGAAAAGAGAAATAAGTAGTGTGTTGCATCAAATAATCTGCATAAGATGCCATTATAAGCATTTTAAGGCACATACAACATGCACAACTTAGGTGATATGGAATATTACATAAATACAAGCTTTGTGGTAAACATGTTAACAAATAAACATCAATGTTTTGAAAGATCACAATATTAGTTGACTCAGGTTACAAAATTATCTGATAGAACCATTACAATTATTTGATACTTACACTATATTCAAAGTTGACATTAATTTATTTTGGAACAATAAATTTATATTTGTCACTAATAATTACCATAACTATCGATATATTACCTACTGCTATTTAAAAATATATAAAATAATCAGATGCAACTGTATATAAACTACATAAAAATTGAGAGAATAAAAAATACATTTAGGGTTTTAGTCATGACAACACCTTTATTGTAAACAAAATTAATTTTAACCTATATGCACAAGGTCAGTCCATTGCACGAAGCCCGTACTGAAGAATTAATGAGATCTATAATTCTGAAGTCACTAAGTGTATCTTCATGCAATTTGATAAGCTTTTAATAATCCTGACAGGTATGTTGTATGCAAGAAAATATGAATTTTTAATGATATATTTGTACTAAAGATTTGTTTGTGAATTCACCAAGTCAGTCTGATTCTAGTTTGCGTGCAAGGTGATTTTCATGTTAAGAATAAAATACTTTTTCATCTTAAAGTTTCATATATATTATTTCCATAACCTCTAGAATGTCCTAAATGAATATCAACAGTTTTTCAATCAGTAAAACTTCATATTTTATGTTATTTTCTCTACCCTTATACTAACGCGATAAACAATTTATTGCATTACCCAATTTTTTCACACTTTTTTCAGAATCATCTGTTTTGATACCCTAATGCATGTAGCTGTAAATGTATTTCATGGATGACGCAATACTGTCTAATTATAGCAGCAGCAGCTTTATAGGTATTTCATACGCCATTTTTTGGTTGTAAATAGAGGTTCTTACTGAGTCAGTTTAAAAGCAGATCTGCTACAACGTGCATTTGATACCACGATCAAGGGTTGCAAGTTAATGCCAAAAAAAAAAGTGTTTCTTTGAGAAAAGAGGGACTTTCGAAAAGGCAGGTTGCTAGAGGAATTAAATTTAACCACTTTCCCATAAGCTGCTGGGTGCAGAGATAGAGAAAGACTGGTTGTGTTGAGTGGCAGAAGGAAAGGGATAGGAAGAAAGCATCCACAGCAGCTGACAATATTATTCTTAAATACATAAGCCTTCAGAATTGTTGATTGTCATCCAAAGATCTCAAAAGAACATAACAGAAAACTTCAATGGTCACTATTACTGCATGGACCATCCAGTCTTGCTTGGATTCAGCTGGTCTCCCAGCAAGACAGTCAAGAAAAAAATCTTCCCTTGCCAACAAAATGAGGAAGATGAGGCTCAACTGAGCTAAGGAGCATGCTACTGGACTGAAGAAATATGGAGCAAAGTTCAACTTGCACAGGTTTGATGGAAGGTATTTTGTATGACAACAACGTGGAGAAGAGTTTCATCCAGCGTGTTTGAATGCAACTGTGAAGCATCCACAGGATCAGGTGATATGGGAATGCATCTCTAGCCAGGATGTGGAACACCTGTATTTTGTGAATGGCACTATCAATGCCGACAAGTACATTGAGATCCTCAAGTGAAGGTTAACTCTTTCACTACAGTCTCGGCCCCAGAGACCAACCCCGTAACCATTTTGTGCTTGTTATAGTTTTCATGTTATAACTTTTAATACAGTAAGCACATCTTCCCAAATGTTTGCAGATTATCAGTAAACATTATAAGGCTTTTTTATGCAAAATAACATTTTGTTATAAACTTTTAAGATTTTTTAAATAATGTTTTTC